AATTCAATTATTAAAATCATTTGGTGCTAGTGATTATGAATATATAGCAATCTCCTGTCACAAGTCTTAAACAGGTTTTTAACAATATGAATAATCTAAAAATAATATTTAAATAAGTAAACTTGGTGATTTTCTAAAATGATTATATCAGATGCAAATTATAATAATTCACAAGGTTTAAATTATTTACTTTTATTTGTATAAAATTATTATTATTATTAATAATTTTAATTTATTTATTATTATTTAGATCAAAGTAATCTATTACTTACTAAAAAAGCTATATTTACAATACTTGTATAAGCTTCAAATTTAACTAATACAATGCTAAATTTTCAAACTACAAGAAAAATATTACAAGATATAATTTATTTATATTGGTATAAATATTTTAATTTTTTAAAAACTTAATTATTTATATTTATTTATCGAATTTTAGACTCTCAATAATATTGAAAGTACTTCTTTATCTATTAAATCATTGTATGAATTATCAGAATTTAATGAATTATCTCAAGGAAATATATATAATAATCCTAATATTATATATCATATTCACTATCACTATTATTATAATATGCCACTTTTTCAATAATTTGCTTACATATTCATATTTTTATAAATTTGCTATTTGCATTTTATTAATTTGCTATTTGTAATTCATTAGTTTGCTATTTGCATTTTATTTTGCTTTAGTAATTTCGTATTAATGTAATTACTATAATTAACATTAAAGCAAAAATCAATAAAATTTTAAATAAAGTGGAGATTTAATTAAGATAATAGTCTCTGATCATTATAGTAACAAAAATTGATATACTATGATATAGTATTAATATAGGTAACATGATCAATAGTAACTACCAGATAATTACTACATATGCACTGATTTTTGTAATTAGCAATAACTTTTAATCTATTGGTTTATTTTAAATGTTTTGTTGCCAAAATGATCTCCTCAATGAGGTGATTCTAACAAGCCCAAAATCATCAAAATCCAATCACAGGATCACAAGATCACTATAGATCAAATAAAATTTTAACTAATAAAATTAATTATTTAACCAATAAAATTGCTTAAAATAAATGTTTGTATAATCTATTTCATTAAGTTTTTAATAAAAACCAATAAAATAAGTTATACAAACATTTATTTTAAGCAATTTTATTGGTTAAATAAGTTATAGTTATTGTATGGGTTGTAAAAAATAACTAAATTTGCACGGGTTAACCAGTGTCAAAATTTGATCGATTGGTCAAATTTTGACACTGGTTAACCCGTGCAAATTTAGTTATTTATACAATCCCATATAATAACTATATTATTGTACGGGTCTGACGTAACAACCCGTGCGTCACTTAATACTTTAATAAAAATTAAAAAAAATTAATTAAAAGTAACGATCAATTTGTAAATAAAAAAAGAATTTTTAGTGATTTAAAATTGATAACACACTCTTTCTTATTAAAATGTCAAACAATTTACAAGAAGAAGTACAACGATTATCTAACCTTTCTAAAGTTACAAACACTGATAAGAACACTGAAAAATGGCTTCGTCATATAACCCATTATATAAAAGAAAATAATATCCAAAAAAACCTAGACCAAATTGACAATAGAGATGAACTTGATGAATTTCTCAGTTTGTTTATTGCATAGTTAAAGCGAAAAGATGGAACACCTTTTAAAGTAGAGTCAGTTCATAACTGTTATGCAGCCTTGGCACGTTATTTAAAAGAACATAGTGCGATTGGAAGTGGAGTATGTTTATGGGATAAATATTACTTTCCTAAAGCTTTAAAATGCCTTGATGGAAAAATGCGTTTATTACAAATAGATGGATATGGTGATACAAATTCAAGTGATACCCTAACTTCTGATGAAATTACTGTTTGTTTGAATCATAATTACCTTTCAGTTACTAATAATGAAGGGTTAACAAGGCGAATTTTTTTTTGGTTATCATTATTATATGGCCTTTGTGGAGGAGACACAAGTAATTTGCAGTATCGTGATGTCGAATCTTGAGCTGATAGTGGGTTACAACTACGATTTAGAAAAGAAAAAAATAATCAGGATGGAGTTTTTCAACGTAGACGATATGGTCATACTGCTACACGTACTGTTCCGATTCCTCTTGACAATAATGAAAATCAATTTACACCAATAAAAGATATAATTTTATACTTATCTAAACGTCCTGCCCAATGTCAAGATTCTGATCCACTTTTTTTAGAATGTGTTAGAAAAGCATCTGGTATTTTATTTTGTTGTATAAATTTAATTTCTAACTTTAAATTTTTTTATACAATTTTATGTACGTACATATACATTAGATATCAAAAATGGAATTTGGTACAAACCTTCACGAATGGGTGCAAACAAACTTAAAAAAATATTACACCAAATCGCTATTAATACCGGTATTATTCTTGTTGATTGTAAGATCACAAATCATAGTGCAAGACGAACTGCTATTATGCTTTTAAAAGCATCCGATACACCTGAAGATGAATTAATAGCCTTTTCAGGTCACCGATCGCATGAGGGTATCAGGTCTTATAGCAAACCTACAGATGATCAATGGTTAAACTCTGTAGCATCACTTATACCATTTGCAACAATTGAGGAAGATCTAAAAGAATATTATAATTACCCTGGAGAATCTTATATTACATATGAATCAGAAGAAGATAATTCAGATACTGGTAAAGTTTAAATTAAATGTACTATACATAATAAGATTTTTATATTTTTAACTATATATATCTAAATCTATAGAAACAACAATATCTAATTCAGATTTAAAAATATTAGAATGTGGTACTACATATTTATTATTGTTAAACAAAACTGCTAAATTATTATTATCTGTTATTATATATTATTTTTAGAAATTTCTGTAACATCTACTACAGCTAGTTTTGATTCTAAAATTGGAGTAACAGCAACATCTAATAATAGTATTATTAATGATGGTTCACAATATAAATTGCCCAAAACTCGCAAAATTATAAAACAGTCAAAATCAAGATCAACCGTTTTCGCACCTTTTAAACCACCAGTCAAGAAAGCAAAGATTTTAAATTCTAAATCTAATTTGCAACAAAATCAATTTTATAACACTCAGGAAAATCAATTACACAACACCCAAAAAAATCGATCATATAGCATCCAAGAAAATCAATCATATAATGCTCAAAAAAATCAATCATATTACGCTCAAGAAGATCAATCATATAACGCTCAAGAAGATCAATCATATAACGCTCAAGAAAATCAATCATATGAACTAGCGAATCATTCAAATACTGCACAAAACTATATTCGACCTAGAAATGCTTTTGAATCCGTTACCAACAATATTATACTTCAAATCCCACTCACTGACAAACCCTTGACTATAAATTTAAATCTTACATTTGGTAAA